GATCATTTTAATAGTCTGTTGTTTTTTAAATTTGTGTGATCCTCTGTCCTAGGAAGTCCAGCTTGCCTGAACTGCCTCACTGCCTTTGGTTTGGTACAGACACTAAAATAATTTCCTTCCACAGACAGTATATATTCTAACAGAAAAAAAAAAAAAAAAAAAGGAGGAAGAAAACGTTCTGCTCCCATTTTACAGACAGAAAACTGGTTGAGGTATCTTCATAAAATCAAAAATACAATTTGTAGCATGAATCGGAATAAAGATTAATTTTCTAAGCCCTAAATTCACTAACTTTTAGTCTTCATCTTTATGGTTTAGTGGGATTTCACAGAGATTTTTAGAAAGTGCAAAATTTTATTAGTTTTAATGTAATGAGAAACAAAAATGACAACAAGCTTTGAAAAATAATGGCTTCTCTGACTGAGAAGAGCACACAAATTTATTTCCAGTTCTCCTTCCCCCCACTTAACTCCAATGAGAAAAAGTATTTGCAATTCAAACTAAAACTGTTGCCTGCATTCTTCAGCTGCAGATAAGTTCTTCCTATACCATCTGTATCAAATGCCATTAAGGAAGCTAATGCAATTACTAAAATACAAGTGGATATTTCCTGCATACAGCAAGGTTAAAAAGGTCATTGTTTAACTGAATGGAGTACGTGCTTTTTATATTTGCTGTTCTTAGTACTTTTCTTCATGGTCTATTCTCAGTCCATTAAATATAGCCATCAAAATTCAGCAATTTGATGGCAACAATGACCACATATATGGATGCAAAAACTGGGAGCATCAAGTGCGTGACCTTAGCTAATCTGGAATAAATGATGTATGCCTGGCAATTATCTTGAAATGCTCTGGTTTACTTGACTTCTTTTTCAATGTTCTACTGTTGGCCCAAAGATATGCTAATTATTTCTTTTCACTATGACTTATTAATGTCTAAAAAAAGATTAATTTCAACTATACTATTTTAGTCATGCCTGTGGCATTAATGAAGTCATGAGTTCAAAACCTTGAAGTCACCATGCTGAACCAGTCAGTGTGAATTTCTATTTTAAAGAAATCTAACATAGGCTGATAAAATCAATTTTTTAAAAAATCCTTATGAAATAAGATCACGGTTTTGAACTTCTTTTTATTATTATTAATACAATGTGTGTATGAGTCTAACTGAATACCACCACAATTTCATCTGGTCTTTATCAAGGTTTGCCTGCATTTTCTTTCAGGGATTTTACTTTGTGTCAACTTAAACCCTTATAGGAGCTGGAATCAATTGTAATATTAGCAACAACAAAAGTTAAATGTTTTTATATTTTCTGTTGAACTTAGAAAAAGAGATGCAATCAACTATACTTTAGACCCTGCAGAAATCTTTCACTCAATTATAGCTTCTACTTATCTGAAAGTCTCAGGTATGGCTAAACAAAAAGCTTGAGAAAGTTTAATCCATTTAGCCCAGTTCATGAAGAAAACTTGGCCTTTATTACTCCTGTACAGCATGTCATCAAAACTACAGGACCTTCATATAGAAAAAAAACGCTTATGACAAAATAAAGACATGCTATTATATGCCTTATTTTATTGACATATGAAAAGTGCTTAAAACGTACTTAGAAATGAGCATAAGGTCCCAAAACTAGATGGAAATAATACCAGAAATACTAGAATTCTCCTTTTTAACTGGTATTTTTGTAAGGTCAGCAATTTTCTATTTCCTACTGATATACTCTTCCATGTACTTTAAACAAAACAGTATTGTTTCAAATTGTCCTCTGTAACTACTGGTAACTCATAGTGCGGTATCTCTTCCCATAATCCTCACCAACTTCTGTGCCAA